AAAATTTTCTTTTTATTATTTTCTTTATATATATTGTAATTAAACATATTTACTAATCCCAAATAAAGCTTCCTGTTCCTGTTTTAGCGCGACTATGTCGTGCAGCTACCTAATTAATTAACATAAAACAGACTACATATAAAATGATCGGTAAAAATTCTCGCGTACAGTACGTACAGTACGTACGTATAGTACGTACAGTACTGTACATGACACATCACTAGGTGAGAGTTTATAAGATTATAAGATTTAATTTGGTTAAAATTAAGCGTGCTGCAATAAAATAAAAAGGAATTAAAAGATGACTTGTTATTATTGTAAAAGATAGTAGTTATTTAATACATTTGAGAAATTATTTTTATGATTAACTTAAAAAATCAAAGATTTTATTGAAGTTAGGAAGGGCTTTATATTTATATCATCTTATAAGATTTGTAAAATTTAAAATTCAGAATATCACCTTTAAGATTACTGTTTACGTGTTAAGTGTAGTGTAACTGTTGTTAGGAAAGCTTAATAGAATTATGTGGATAGAAGGCCAATTTAATTCCAACGGTGTACAAAGAGATAAATATAAACTTAGATAAATAAAGGGAGTTGTTTATAACAATCAGAGGTCTATTGAGACAATATAACACTATGAAATGAAGGCTTTAATATTTAGAGGGGTGGTAATAAGGCGAAGCAACTAAAGGCGATGCTGGTAGGGATATCTCAATAAAGAGGTGAGGTAAAAGCGGACAATGGTCAAGTGATAATGGTGATAACTTTAAATTTACATGAATTATTAGCAGAGTGAGGTCGAATAACCAATCGTAAGTCTCACAATTCTCACAAGTCACCAAGGTGAATTTAAGGGAAAATGAGATTTCGGATTTTTAATTATATTTTGTATTAGACACAATCTATCGGTACAAAATATAATTATAAGTTCGATGTCTCATTTTTCCTTGGTGGCATTTATATGAGATTAATCCTTAAACTATAAGTATATTATTTTTATTTTTATTTTTTTTCTTGTTTTATTTTATTTTATTTATTTGTTCTTTTGATGCGTTATTAATTTTAATTTAAATAATGTAAAATCATCAAAATCAATTAACTTTGAGCGCAGGTTTTAATGAAAAAAATACATACAATAAAAAATTACATATTTAATCAGATTGAATTTGATCACAAGAAACAGGAGAAGATGGATCTGACTCATTTGAATTTGTCAGCATTTCTTTTGCTAAATCTGTAATTTTGCGCCAGCCCCTAGTTCTTGCATATAGTTTATCGATTGAAGAAGGTTTAGTCACGGAAGGCTTTGCTACAAAGGGTCTAGTTTTAGAAGGCTTAATTGCAGAAGGTTGGGTTATAGGAGGTTGGGTTGCAATAGGTTGGGTTGCAGGAGGTTGGGTTACAGGAGGTTGGGTTGCAAGAGGTTGGGTTGCAGGAGGTTGGGTTGCCGGAGGTTGGGTTGCAGGAAGTTGGGTTGCAGGAAGTTGGGTTGCAGGGGGTTGGATTACAGAAAGTTGAGTTGCAGGATATTGGGTTACAGGAGGTTGTGTTGTAAACGGTTTAACAGTGGAAGGTTTGGCCGCAGGTGAATTACCAACTTTATTGTTAAACTTCGTGGCTATTGTTTCAGCGAAGCTAATAGTCTTACTTGATTCTTCAGAAATTTCAGCTTCCCAGGGAATTTTAACAGGGCTACTTGTATTAATTAATGTTCTTTGATAATCAGAAAAGGTTATATTTTTAACGTGTATATAACTTTCATTATTATGTAGAATAAACTTACCACTAATATAAAGAATTGAATTTTTCTTTATAGCTGGAGTAACACAAATTAGATGGGGTGCGGATGCTAAGTAATGACACTTTATTTCTGTTTCATTTTGTTCCTAGTCTACATAGTCGGTCATTATAATTGTCATAAATACATCTTCACCAACAGTATTAGGTGGTTCTTGTACCATCACGATCATATTAATCAAAGCTGAAAACACAGGAATATCATCTGGTTTTAGGTTGAGATGGACAAGATCACTTAAAATAATCTATATATTTTTATATTTTTGGTAAAGAAAAAACATTATATTAGTTAGAGCAAAATTTATTATGTATAAATATATATATATTCTAATGCATTTGATATGCATAATAAATCAAAAAAATACTTGCATATACATTAAAGTTTTTATCTATTTAAATTTGATTGCATAACAAATCATAACAGCAGAGACAGTGCCTGATTCAGAGTGAATTTCTTTTTCCTGTGATCAATTACAAATTAAATTATTTATATTAGATTTAATTGTAATAGATATAATTCTTTATTAGCTTTAATATATGCGTAATATTAATGGTCTCTGCTGTAACAAATCTTATATAGTGCAAAGTTCTTAAATTATTTATGCACTGCGTATAAGATTTATATATTTTTAGGTTTGGATTTTACATATAACCATATGTATTAAAAACTAACAATTAAATCGAATTAACAATAATAAGCATTACACCATTAAATTAAAGTAACTGACATGTTAAATAAGGAGTAACGGCAAATTAAAAATAAAAAATATCTAGTAATTATTAATTTTTTAAACTTATTTTTATGGCAAAAAGCCTTTCATTTTTTTCATTTATATATTCGACTACACGGAATTTTCCAGTTGCAAGAATCACATTTTCTTTTTCAAATGCAGTAAGACTAAATTCTTGAGCCATATTCTGATGATAAAAACCTTTTAAAAATATTTTTAAAGGTGAATTTAAACTTCTGGATTTCATAAAACCAGAAGCATCAGCTATATAGATATTTTTGCTAGAATTTAATCGATGATCAGTTACATAACAAAGCACGGTAATAGTAGCCGGCATGTCTTATAAATTTACTTATTCAAATAACATAGAAAAATTCTTTAGCAATTTTTTTCAATAACTTTATTTTATTTTACTTTAAAAAAAATAACAACAATATCTACACAAAATTCGCAGTTATATATATATTACACAATATAAGGTTTTTAATAAGGCTTAAGTCAAATAAAAGTAATACAATGATTTTTTTTATGTATTTTTTAGTTTTTTTTTATTTATTTATTATTATTTACTATTTAGTATAATAATAATAATAAGTATAATAAATAAATAAAAATAACCATCAGCAAATTACTTAATAAAGTATTAATACTAAAAATAAGCCACAAAATACTATAATATTATTACATTTGACACAGCTTCTATTCAATCTCATCAAGTTATTATCACATCCAAAAAAAAAATTATATTGACAGCCACAAAGTATATCACACAAATTAATAAGTCTTTCGCTACGATTCTTTCATTACTTTCTTTGGCGATCATTGATTATCAATCCATCTACCCGGCAAAAAAAAAACAAAAAAGAATTAAAAATACAAAATTCAAGAGGCACATACATAATCATAAATAAGAATAACGATCAAAATCGATAAATACACTTATAATTTTTGTACCTGATACTTAACAGTTTGCGATCCTTATCTATAATCTAGAATCAATTCAGATTCAAATTCAGATTCAGATTCAGATTTAAAGAACATATAAAAATGGAAGGAGTAGATCATTCCTTTTATATAATTAAGAGGAAATTGTTTTGTTGATTATGAAAAAAAAACCAGAATAAGAGGAAATAGTTTTGTCGATAATGCAAAAAAAACTGGAAAGAACAAACCATATAATGCAAAGCCAGTAAATCGTACAACTAAAAATAGAAAGAACATACTAGCAAAATTAAAAACCTTTAATGATGTGTTTCAAAAAATTCAGATCATGTGATTATCTTCGCTAAATTTTATTGGTGAAAATCTAAGATCTATTTTAAAAATTTTGAATTTCTTTAAAACTTCTAGCAAAGGTTCCTTGATAATCTCTTCATTAAATATTGTGAAATTTTTTTTATTTTAATGCAATAACTCTACAGAATTGAAATAAAAAAAATTTGCAGAATTTCATTTGATAGATATCAAGAAATATTTGTCTAAAATTTTAAATAAGTTAGAATATCAGAAAATTATTTAAAAATCAGATAAAACTTTCTTTTTTTAATTTTACTTGAAGATTTCTCAACGCCTAACTGACTAAATTCAATGATTTTTTTTATTTTGATTCTATAGGTATGAAGAGCTGAAATAAAAATTTTTGCCTGAATTTAGATAGGTAGTCATTAAGAAATCTTTACTTAAATCTAAATAAAAAATTTGGCTCAGCTTTTCTTTTATGAATACTTAACTTTAAATAAATATTTCTTGACAAATAACTATCCAAATTCAATGAATTTTTTTTGACTTTACTTTATAAATTTGTAGAAGTAAAATAAAAAAAAATTTATCAAATTTGAGTTATTTGTCAAAAAAGATTTATTTAAAGTTAAACATTTATAAAAAAAAAGCTACAGACAAATTTTTTATTTAGATTTAGGTGAAGATTTCTCAATGACTGCCTATTATTTTTTTATTTTAGTTATACAAACCAGTAGAATTAGAATAAAAATATTTTATCAAATTTGAATAGGTAGTTATCAAGAAATATATATTCTTTAAAAAAAATTTTATCAAAATTTTTTTAATATTTTAATTTTTAAAAATTTTAAACAAAGATTTCTCAACAACTACATAATGTATTCAAATTTAATAAAATTTTTTATTGTAATTTTACTGGTTTGTAGAATTGAAATTTTAAATAAAGATTTCTTAACAATTATATACTGTATTCAAATTCAATAAAATTTTTTTATTATAATTCTACTGGTTTGTAGAATTGAAATAAAAAAAGATTAAATTTAGATAGATAGTCATTGAGAAACTCATTTAAGTTCTAAACTAAAAATTTGGTTGCAACTTTTCTTTTATATATACTTAACTTTAAATAAATATTTATCAACAAATAACTATTCAAATTTGATGAATTTTTTTTATTTTGCTTCTAAGAATTTATAAAATTAATCCAAAAAAAAAATTTATCATATTTAGATAGTTATTGGTTAAGAAATATATATTCAAAGTTAAGTATTTATAAAAAAAAAGCTGTAGCCAAATTTTTTATTTAGATTTAAATAAATTTTTTTCAACTACTACCTATCTAAATTTATTTAATTTTTTTATTTTAATTCTACATATCTATAGGATTGAAATAAAAAAATTGTTGAATTTGTTAGTTATTTGTTGCGAAATTTTCAAATAAAGTTCAAAAAAAGAAAATTTTATCTGATTTTTAAATTATTTTTGAAGATTATCTAGATTTTTTTTTAATAAAGATTTGCAATTTTCTGTGAAAAATCAGATTATTGTGGAATTTTTTATTTAGATCTGCAAAAATAACTAAAGTACAATATTTTAAAGTTTATAAACTAAAAACCTGTAAAAATTGTCAAAAATACAGGTTATCGCAGATTTTAAAATTTAATATTTGCAACAAATAGCAAAATGCCAAAAAAAAATCTATATCAAAACAACAAAAATGCAATTTCTGAAAATTTAAATTTTTAAAAAAATTTTTTATAGCACTATAAGTTTTATATATAAATTTTAGGATGATCTTAATACTCATCGGAGGTGAAATTCACTGGTTATATGATTAGCCAATCAAATTGCATGATCTTTGTATAACATAAATGAAGAATTTTTAGGAAAAAATAACAAAAACATTAATATCTTAAATTTTTATTATGAAAACTTACTTCATGTCATTAAGTAAAAATTTTTAGTGCTTAATTTTATATATAATAAACACTCTAACCCTAATATAGTCTTCGCCCTAACCCTAAAGTTAATAAAAAAAATTTTTTATTAGGAAATAAACAAACAAAACTATATACCGGTTAATTTCACCTATGGTTATTTCTAAATAAATTCTAAATTTTATTTAATTTATTTTTATATCACATATATATATTATATAATAATAGGGGTAGAAAAAAAATAATTTAAATGATTTTTTATGTTTTTAAATATATTTTTAAAACTTTAGTGCAAAATTCGATTGAGGCTAGAACTGCCTTTATGAGTATTTATAATTATAATAAAAACTAGAAAAACAAGATCAACTAAAGCTAAACCTTGCATAACTAGATAATTATGTCAAATTGAATAATGGAAATATACATTAGAAATTTAAGGTGATTTTTAACAGCTTTAATCTTTGCAAATATTTTTTCAATATTATAAATTTCTTAATTTATATCAGTAATTTTAGTCTCTTAACCTTCTTTATGATTTTTCAAGCCCTTCTATTTTATGTTTTTCTTTTCTGCTTCTTTTAGTTCATCTGTCTCTTTTATATAAATGCTGCTAAGAGAAAAGGGCATCTCCATTTTTTAATCAATTATTGATTCAATAATTGATTAAAATATGAAGGTGCTCTTTTCTCTTGGCAATACTCATCTGTAGAAATAAAGACAATAGTCTTATGACTGGTATAAGAGGAAAATTCATAAAGTTAAAATCAAGGTGGTTCAGTTAATCTAATCAAAATTAGTTAAAATCTGCCAAAAC